GCGGGCGGCCGTCCGGGGGCGCCGCGCGGCGGGCGGGGCGGCGCGCCCGCGGCGCTCTTAAAGCGGCGATGGCTGCGGGGTGGGCCCCGCTCCTCCCACCTTTTCCCTGCCGGCTTGGCCGGGCATGCTTGGGCTTTGTAGGCATTTTCTGCACCTTTCCTCCATGCACAGGATCCGCCGGGCAGTCCCGCTGCCTCCGACCTGCTGCTGTCCGTATGGGTTGGACTGCACCTCCGCACTGGGAGCGGAGACGGCCGCGCCCGTTTGAGGAATGCGAGGCGACGGCGGCGCGGCGGCGGCGGCGGGCGGCCTGCCCTTTTGCCCTTGCGGGGGAGGGACGGCGGGCCTGGGGCCCACGGCCCTGGCGGGGCCTCCCCCGCGGGCGCAGCTGCCGGGCTGTGCCCGATCCCAGGCGCGGCCAGGCAGGGACTCGCAGCCACCGAGCCGTGTGTCGGGCGGGTTCAGACGACCCGATGAGCCAGACTCCCCAACCCAAGGACAACCCAGGAGTTCTCGTCATTCCTCGTTAATGGTTAAATCATGGTTTGTTAGCATGGCTGGGTTCAGACATAACCTGCATCTCAAGCACAAACAGGTTTTCTTTTCTGAAAGCCATCTCTATCTGCTCCCCAGACCTTCATAAACAATCCAGTCGATCTTTGCCCTGAAATATATATATATATATATATATATGAAAAAGCCAGGATTTACAAAGCATGTTTATTTAGGAAAAGACAAAATCAAGAGGGAGGCATTTGTGATGAGTTCCTGACAGTTCAGAGATAAGCTGTATTTAATGGGAGAGTACAAAATACAGATGTTGGAACCCCAAACCTTTGTGGTTCACGACAAAGTCCTCCCAAGAGGCAACTTAAAAATAGACTTGTTACCACCCGGGCAGAGGGACTGCGGCATTCTTTGCGTTCTTGATGAGCACCTGTTGAGCATCAACATGTTGAGCCGAACAGCGAAGTCAGTGCGGAAGAGCAAAACCGACAAAAGTATCATGCATCTGACAAACATCTCCGTACGCCATTCCTTCTTTAAGTAACAAAAATATATCCGGGCATCTCAGAGATATCCAGCAAATTTTTCCAGCTTTTCTCAAAAGAAAACAAACATACAAAATGTTCTCTTTGCACATCAATGAAGAGGAGGCATGTGTCTAAGTGTGGCATTCCCTGCGATCAATCCCCTTTTCCTTGGCTATTCTATTCCTCCTACAAATTCAATGCCTCTGAACTCACGTTTGGAAAAAAAAAAAAAACCCTATTACTTTTGTTAAATTATACTTTCTACAGTATCATGCCCAACCCCCCATCTCCTCTCCTTCATCCTTTTCTGTATGAATTTTATGGGTACCCAGTTCAGTATTGTGATGTTTGAAACCAAAAACCAAGTGCTGTTAAAAGAGTATGGTTGCCATCCTATCTGGTTTAGATAGGAAAAAATCCTCCAATATTCAGTGTGCCCACCCCACTGAGGACTGTAAGATTTTTTCCTATCTAAATCTGCAAAGGATTGCACTCCAAATGAGAAAAGCCACAATTTCCTCAAGCTCGGTGGTGAAAATCTTCAAAAGGTACAAACAAAAAACCCAAGCAGGCATGATCTTAAAAGAAAATGGCAGTAAATTAAATTGATCAAGTGCATAAAATCTGCAATGCAAAGGGCGTGTAGCCTGGGGGCCGTGAGGAAAACACCACTCAGACTGAGGCTTTTCTACACCCCAAATTAGTTTTCTAAGTCAACCAGAGAAGTATCTTTACACACAGAGGACTGTGTCCCTCACACACAGACAGGAGCAACAGAAAAGAAGCTTTGAAGCAGCGTGAAGAGACGCCTTGAGAATACGGGAATGCTTGTCCTCCAAGGAGAAAAATGGCATTTCCCTTGAATCCTTTGCACAGGTCGGCCCAGGTTTTGCTCCCCTGTGCCACAGGACAGTGCTTTGAAATATTACTCATTTCCTGATGGATTGGTCAGCCACGTATTCCATTTCAGTTCCCGAGCCCCGTGAAGGCGAGCTGTTAACCTTTGCATCTCCCGCCAACCGAAGGTCCTGGTCATGTTGAGTCTGTGGATGCTGGCAAGACCAGGGACCTCACAGTGAAGCGGCAGTCCCACGCAGGCGTAGATGGGAAGTCCTGCTGGCCCCCCTGAAATGCCTGCTTTATACCTCGGTAGCCCCAGGCTGAACACCTTCCAGCTGGCATCATGAGAAACTTACAGGGTGGTTTGTAGGGGGAATTGAAAGCAAGGACTGCTGTCAGTAACAGACATGCTTACAACGTACTTGTTTCAGGGAGGACCGTTCTCTGGCTTCCAGGTGAAGTAATTTCAGTGTTCCAGGTCCTTTTTCATCCACTATTGAAGATGACCAGGTTCAGACACCATGATCAGCCATGCTCTGAGGTTAAGTATGGACTAAACCATGGGTTGTCACTGAAACCTGGATTATTGTGCTGTCTGAACCCAGCCATGCCAACAAACCATGGTTTCTTAACCATGAACCACCTATGAAGGGAACCCATGGTTTGTTGTTGGGTTGTGACTAACCAGCCAAGCTGATTAACATGGCTGGGTTCAGACAGTAATAACCCCTATTTCTACTCTTACGCATGGGCTACTATGTTTCCAAGGGATGGTAGATGTTCCGTGTACAATCATCGCAACATTCCTGTTCAGTCAAAATTTACTCCCCAAGAAGGGAGGCAGACAAGCTTTTGGGAAATGGCAGTTATCATACAGCAACAGCTATAAAGAAGGGCAGGGAAAGATTAAAGGCTCCGGCGATTTCAAAGGACACCCTGTTTAAAAGCACAGCCTTTTGCATCCATCAGACATTTGGGTCCTCCTAAGCTAAGGAAATCCACAAGGCACTAAGCAGGAGGAAAGAAAGGAGAAGGCCAGGGAATTAGCCACGTTCCCAGGATCTTCCTAATCCATTTGCTTCTGTTCTGCAGGAGATCAAGTCCTGGACAGAGGTCCCCGCATCCCAGGCCAGCAGCAGCTGCAGCGTCCCAGCCAGCTGTGTGTTCAGCCCTCCCGTGCGGGTTTCCCGTTGCCTGAATGCAGCCACTACCACACCCAAGCTCCCCAAGCAACAGCGAAGCAAGGCCAGAAGGACGGCCAAAGAATGGCTGCAGCTGGCCGTACGGACACGTGAAATAAGAGCCGTCTTCATTTTCTAAAGCCTTGGGGGGAAAGCAAAACTCTTTATTCACCCCCAAAGCAGTTGCCCTTCATATAAAAAGCTTCATGTGGATGCAGGACACCTGGGGAGGTTGCTGGAAGGGGTGACGGGCGGAGCAGGAGGGACCAGCTGGGGAAATTCCCCGGGGGCCCGCGCTGGCTATCCCGGATGCAACCGAGTGCCAAGCGTGCGCTTCCAGGCCGCGCGGCAGGGTGCAGGCGGGTTTATCCCAGCGCCAGCGCCACGCAGGGCCACCCTCAGATGTCCCCTCCGTGAATTCCCCCATCCCATCCCTGCCTCCACTTTGGCCGCTTCCTCACCAGGGGCCAGCAACTTGGCCCACCCACGCCAGCGCAGTCTTCCCACTAGGCGGCGTTGTCTTTTCCAAGGACCCCTGGGCAGAAGAGCTGTCCACCACACAGCCGGGCATCCGTGAGTGTCGCCGGTGCCTCTTTATGCCTGTGGAATGTGGCGACCCCACAGGGCTGCAATACCTTTGCAGCACAGGGATCCTGGGCACGATCCGCCGTTCGTCCGCAGCGGTCCGTATCCACGCTGTGACTCTACACCCACCGCAAATGGTGGAAAGGGGACTCCCCAGTGCCTGAGTGAAGGAGCAAGAGGAAACGCAGTCCCTTGTCTCTTGAGATGTCGGATCTAGTCGATTTAGCCGGGGGGTGCGGGGCCCCTCGCAGGTGCTCTCACGGCGTCTGGGGGCCTGCAAGTTCTCAGTGGTGGAGAGGCTTGGCTTTCTCTCTCGAAGGCATGGTGGGCTGTAAGGCCAAGCCAGACTTGGTTTTGCATGCCTTAGACTGGCACACCAGGGGAGTCGGTATCTGCCCCTCGAGGAGGAGGAGAGGTGGGGAGAATCAGATGAGAGTCAGAAGTCTCGGCCGAGGCTGCTTTGGGAAGCTTAGTTCTCTGCAGAGATCTTGCGTCCTTTCCCCAGGAAAGGGACAGGCATAGCCCTTCATCTACTGGGTGGTGAAGAAAGGACCCCCAAAATGCGTTCAAGAGACAGACACGCAGAATTTGATCCTTTGGTCCCACTGGCTCCTGTCCTGTGTGAATTCCAGAAGGGTTAGTGCAGAAGGATCCACTTTCATCATCCGTGGGTTTTCCTGTCGAGGTGGAGAAAGAGGCCGCGTGTGGTTTATTTGCTTGGCTGGAGCCATCAGGACAAAGACCCTGCAGCTTGGACCCCCTTTTGGATGAGATTCGGGAAAGCAGGAGCACAAACCGAACGTGACCACCTCTGGCGTTAGAGTCAAGGGCCGGGCTCCCCTGTCACAGGCACAGACAGTGTGCTGATATACCCCAGTTGCTGGGGAACATGGGTGAGAGAGTGCTGCCACGCTCCTATCCTGCTCGCATCCTTCCTGTGGGTGCCGATTGGCCACCGTGTGCTGGACTAGGTCAGTCCCAGCATGGCTTTTCTTAGGCTCTCAGCTCAAGAAAGAAGAGTACAGGATGAACATGGTCTAAGCATGGGTCGTTATCAAATCGTGAGTCTTGCTGAATCGTGGGTTGTTGAGCCGTGGGAACCCAACTGTGCCGACAAAGCACTGTTTTGTTAACCAGAAGTAACCCACAAAGCAAGCCCAAGATTTGTGGTTGGGCTGTGAAGCATGAGTTGATTACGGTGGACAAACCATGGTTTGTTAGAACAGCAGGGTTCATACAACACAACCCATAATTCAGGAACACCCCATTGTTCAATGGCAATCAGTACTCCACCTGTTCTTTAGCTTCTGATGTTGCATGAACAGGCCAAAGAAGGGCAGAGACCTCAGGCCTACATACCGTGATGTGTGGGAAGCTATTTGGAGTCCTGAAGGTCTTTTGCTTTCTTCAAAATAAGGTGAACATCAGAGATGGGGTAATCCTGCGTCAGAAAGGGAGGGGGAATACAATCAAAGCTGGAATGAGGGATCTGTGGCAAAGTGAGGGCAAAGGGTCTAGGATCCCTGTGTGGTCATCAAGGGATCGTACCATATGGATTCTGGAATTTGGCTTCGAGTGCCGTCTCAGTGCTGTGCCTAAGACGAACCCACCACCCTTTCTGGGCAACTATTTCGTCCTAAAGCAAGACTCGGCCGCATTCTCCGAGTCGAGACCTGCTGCCCCAAATCCCCACGTCGCCTCACCCGTCGTGACACTGGCTTAGTGGTGCCTTGCACAGAAGCCTCCCACGGAGGGTGGGCGCTACTTCTGGGCTCGCTGCGGAGGTTTACCTGCAAAAGTCGCATGTTGAGGGTGAAGTCACCTTCCAGCAGTTGGTCCCGGATGAGCCTGGGGGCAGATGAGAGGGCGCCGCTTTACGGGAGCCAGGAATTCCTGCATCATCAGCAGGAGAGGGTCTGCAAGGACCATGCCGTGATGACGGCAAGAAGTGGGGACAGGGGGAGGTGCCTCCAATGTACAGGCATTGTTAGTGACGGGGCCTTCTGCTCTGAAGAGAAGGCGAGGGTGGGCGTGCATGAAAGCGTGCATGAGGCAGGGAACACGGGGAGAGGGGCATTTCCGTACCCTCATAGTGTCAAAGCTGACGGGGTGCTCCCCGAGTCGAGCGGCTGACGATGCGGGAAGGAAACCCGTCCGCACACGCACAGGGTGGGACTGTGGATTCACTTCCACGAGACCCTCTTTCAGGGCGGCTTTGGAAGGGGCGGAGCGCATCCATGGAGGGTGAACCCACCACAGGCAGGGCTCAGACAACACGAGACGGCGTTACCTGGCCAGAAGCTTCTCTGGGTTGCTTGCAGTTAAGAAGCCACGGCTTGTCCGCAGGGCTGGGTTCAGAGAACACAATAACCTTCACGCTGGCAGCAACCCAGCTTGGTGTCCACCCATGCTCGACCCATGCTCAGCCCTGGGGCTGAAGGTTCTGGTATTCTCTGAATCTCACCAGGAGCTTCTGGTCAGGAAAGCTGCAGCTGATCAGAGGCCGTCCTTCCACCCACATGTCCGGGGAGCAGGAGCCCTCACCCCACACCCCTCCGTCACCCGGCTAGAGCTGTGGGAAGAAAGGCTGTGCGAGAAAAGGCCTGTGACCTGATTAGGCCCAGCCCCGTCCTGGGTTCTACGCCCGAAGTCCAACAGCGCTCGCCTTGTGGCAAGTGCATACGAATTGGGCCCCAGGCCCGGGAGTCCAGGGGTGGGTGAAAATTAGACCCCCAGCTGTTTTGGACTTCAGCTCCCAGCATTCCTGACCATCAGCCATATTGGCAGGGGCTTCTGGGCGTTCGATGTCCACAATATCTTAAGATCTACCTTCTGCCCTCACTCCCAGTCCAATGAAATCCATCCTCCTCTTTTGAACATCTAAGAGGACCTATTCTGACATTTGTGAGGATCAGCTACACTTTGCCCACATCTCCCAATATTCAAAGATAGACTGCCTCTACACATGGAGGCTCCATTGGGCTATTCGGGGAAATAGCCATCGACAGGCCACTGCAGATCGTATCCTGCTTCTTTTTACAGGCTGTGGAGCTACACGGGAGGGCGAGAGCCAGGAGGCCAGCAAGAGATGCTCACACCAGCATTGCGCAACAGACGAGCAGCAGGAAGTCGAAGCGGCCGTCGTCAGCAAAGAGCGAGTCCCAGATGCGAATCACGTCCGGCAGCAGGAACTCCTGGGACAGCAGCAGCGTCAGCCAGCGAAAGGCAAAGAACTGAGGTTTGATGTTTTGCTCTTGCTGTGGGAGATGGAGAGAGAAAAGCACTGCTTCAGTTCACTTTTAAAGTGGGGAGCAGGATGGGGGGAGGGATCAGCCCCTCTTTCCCGGTTATCCTGGAGAAAGGGGTGGGAGCAAAGCAGACAGCAAGCCACACCGTGCCAGCAGGCCTACCGAAGGCTTCCCTTTTCCTCTGCCAATCCGTATGGGGCATGCCGGGAGCCGCAGGGCACTGTTCTGTCTAAAGACCTCTCGGATTCCATGTTCAACAAGCTGCTGCTGGACTGGTTTTTTGGAACTGCTTTAAGTTGTCTCTCTCTAGCCCTCTATTGGGTTATCACAAAAATGCAGGACAGTTGAGTTCCCCTCAAGTAACTCCCCCGAGACTTAAGTCAGTTTCGTTTGGCCTCCACATCCCTCAAAAGGAAGTTTGTGGCTTTCGATCAGCAGCCCTTCCTTCCTCCTCGATTGCTAAGAAAAAAAAAAATTGTAGATCACCGGGGTTATTCCTCGCACAGAAAAGAGGAGCTTTCCAGGCCTGGCAGGGAACAAAGATGAGGCCGATTTGTGTTCTATGGAGAGAGGAAACATCCTACTGACGTGCAGAAGTAGAAATTCCTTCCGACTCGGCATATTCCGTCACTACGTAGCTCAGGATGGACGAGTCCTGCTGGCCAGGGGGCCGACTTCGCCTTCCATCTCAAACCCAGCAGGATGTCAGATTGCCACGGTGCCATCCGATTTGTTGAATCCCTGAGAGTTGGCGGCACAGAAGCACCACCAACTCCCCGCACCCTGATCCAGCATCTAAAGCACCGTTCCCCGAGCTGGGCCATCCCAGCCATTGGGACTACAACTCCCATCGCTTGCAAACCAGCACAGCCAAGGGCATTTGCAGCCTGCTGCTTTGGGAGAAGTTGGTCGATGGATCTGTCAAATCCACTGGCAAGTCCACCATGGGCTGGAACCCCACCGAGTCTCCGGAAGTCCCCTAGGGGGCACGCTCCGTTTGTGCAGGGGACCAGCTGTGTGCATTGGCTTCACAGGGATGACCAGAATATGCCCCCCGCAAAAGGAAGGCTAAAATATCATAAGGTTGCACAGGATGAATGTCCCAAACATTTCTTCCCCACTGGCTAAATTCTGCCATGTACTGGAAGCAAGGACTCGCTGGCGAGTCTCTGGATTCCGGTAAGACTGGAGTGCAGTCCTGGCGGGAGTTGGGGAGGGGTCTGAAAGGGTGGCCAATCGGTGTCTGCTTGGAGAAGGGCCTTCGAGGGGGGTCCATCTCCCTGGAATGCCTCGCCCCTGAAGTCCAGCTGGTGCCAACAGTCTTGTTTTCAGTGCCTCTTGCTAACATTTTTACATCAGGAACATTTCCTGAACTAGCCGACCACCATTTTATCGATTGTGTTTAGTTACTACTCTGTGTTTTTACCCACTTCTTGTGAGGAAACTGAGGCAGCTTTCACAGACCTCCCCTGTTTTATCCTCACAACACCCCTGTGAGGTAGGCTAGGCTAAGAGTGAGCGCTGGCCCAAGGTCACCCAGGGGGCTTCATGGCCGGGCAGGGGCTAGAACCCTGCTTGAAGCTTTTGCAGCCCTGCTTCAGGGGTTGCTCGGCCTTTCCGAGGCGCTCGCCAGGCGGCCGCTGCGGGGGCCCCACGGCCCCCCCGACCCCCACCTGGAGCCGGCTGCGGAAGGGCTCCTTACCAGCTTCATGTACAGCTCTGCGTCCTTCTCCTTCAAGGTGGAGTAGACCTTCTCCATTTTGTAGGTGATGCCGCACTGCGAGTCGTCCAGGCTCTTGATGAAGTTATCCCTGATCTCGGACATGAGGTTGGTGAAGCAGAAGAATGTGTCTGCCTCGGCGTGCTCTGCAGAGGGGGAAAGGCCAGCCGTTGGCACGCCAGGGACGTGCCGAGCAGGCGGGGCTGGCCGGGGCCGGCACACACCCAGCGAGGGCCTCTCGAAAGGAGCCCGCTGTCACGCGCCCCCTGTCCCACCGCAACCTTTGCGTCTGCTGCCCCTCACTCCGGCCCAGGCTGGCGGGGTCAAGTGAGGGGATTCAGGCGGTGCTGGGGCTTCGAGGGTGGCCCCGATGTCCACAGGCTGATGAATCCGCCCCCAATCTTGCCCCAAACTTTTAAGGAGCGCTTCCTGGTGCCGAGCGTATTCTGGGGGCACATTTCAGCCCCAGAGGCAGCTCCCCGGGCCCTCCAAACCTGGACCCAGCGCTGCAGGCCGGCACCTGCCCTTCTTACCTTTCCATTCACTGTTGGGGTCGGTGGCAAAGGTGTAATAGAGCGGGCCGACAATTTCATTCATGCCTTGGACGTAGGCGATTCCCGGATTCAGTTTCGCGTAGATGAAGAGGATCCGCTCCACCACTTCCCAGTGGGCTTCGCAGCCATTGGGCAGAACCTCGTACTCATTCAGTGAGCCGGGGGCTGGCGTTTTCAGGGGAGAACTCACCTGTCGGGGGCACAGGAGAAAAATGGTACCGGAAACCACGTGAGTCCGAAGAGAGGTCCCTGCATTACCAGAAGAACATTTTTGCCCTGTGTGTTAAAAAAGGAGGCTACAGAACAGAAAACTCTGTGACAAAAAGAGGGGACGTGACTCCATGGCAGAGCCCAACTCGCCCGCAGCAGGTTCCCCAGCAGCCTCTCCAGGAAGGGCTAGAAAAGCCCCTCCTTGAAACCTTGTAGAGCTGCTGCTTCCCATCTGTGCCAGACTGAGGAACGTCCTGATTCAGTATTAGACAGTTTCTGAAGTTCCATTTTAAAGCAGTCCCTTTATCAGAAACATGAGGACTAGAACCTTACTTTCTTCCTGGAAGAATGGCTATGGCTCTGTAACAGAGACCTTACTTTGCAGACAGTAAAGCCCCTGAAGCCCCACGGAGCTGTTGCTGCCCCCACCAGTCAAAGGACTGATTCAACACAAAGGCATTTGGGATGTTCCACTGCTGTGTTTGGTTTGGTCCTCACTGCAAGCACACAGAGGCCAGCCAAATTCAGAGACCGAGGGGACGCGTTAAGAGGAAGAGTAGGTCAAGGGAGTCCAGTCTGCCGTGGGAAACATTCCGCATCTTTGCCTTTTCTCATAAGCCTCAAGAAGAGAAGAGGAAGGGGGGAGAGAGATCAAAGCACTCTGCACGTCCTTGAAAGGCTGCCACAAAGCGCAAGGACAGGACCTCTTCTTGACCATCCCAGAGTGCAGGACATGGAATGACGGGCTCAAGCTGCAGGAAGCCAGATTCTGGCCAGACATCAGGAAACGCTTCCTGACTTTTTGAGCAGTGTGGCAACGGAATCGATGCCCCAGGGAGGTCTGGCGGCATGCGAGGTGCAACTGGTCAGCCCTCCAAGAGGGGTGGTTTCCCCGGGAGTCCTGCGCTGAGCAGGGCCTGGCCCCGCTGGCCCTCGCGCCCCTTCCGGCTCGGCTCTCCCGGGCTTCTGAGCTGCCCACTTGTCCCTCACTAGCCCCTGCAGCTCCTCACGTTCGTGACGCCGCTCCGGTTTCGTGCCACCGTCTGCGACTTGAGGGTGGTCTGCTCCACTCGCTTGCGAAGCGTCTCGAACTCATTCTGGGGGTCGAGAATCAAGAGGCAGGGGTATTCCGTAGGGCGCTGGAAGAATGCCATATCCGGGTACAGTCGCCTGGGTGGGGAAAGGGTCCATCCGCGTTTGTGAAAGGGGCAGGGGAAGCGCGTCAGACCAGCCAAGCTCTGGCAGTAGGATGGAGAGCATCAGAGTATGAGCTCAGCCCTGCTCAGCCCAGTCCCGCGATCCGTTCCCACAGTGGCCCCCTCACCCACGTTCCCCAGGAACTGGGGCACGCAGGCTCACGGCCTCTGTCCCTGCAGGGGGCACATGCCCCCACAAGACTAGTGGCTCTTGATAGCCCTCTCCCCCGCAGAACGGATCCAGTCCCCCTCGGAAGCTGCCCACGCAGGGGCCCGTCAGCACGCCTTGCGCTCGCAAGTGCCACGGCTGCTCTCGGCGCTGCATGGGGGCCCCTCCCCGTCCTGGCCCCCCCTCCCCTCGGCTCCCTGGGATGACCCCCTGGCTGCAGAGGGAGGAAGGCCTCTCCGCGGCTCAGGCCGCCGCCTCCTACCTCACGTCCTTGTCAATCTGCAGCAGCACCTCGTTGTCCTTGAAGTACGTGTTCCACCGGCTGTCCGGGTTGGGGTTCAGTGGCTTCAGGGAAGGAAGGAGAGAGAAGGCAGTCAGAGCCGAGGGGGCGGCAGGGAGAGTCTTCTGCCGTCAAGGGTTTACTTACATGGTCCTCCAAAGTCACGTCTTCCCTGGAGACGCCCAGGTTGGCCTTGGCGATCCCGGGCTGAATAATCATTTCCTTCAAGAACTGGGCGTACAATTCTCTTTAAAAGGAAAGGGGAGGGGGAAGAAAAGCTGGTTTGCACCAAATACTGTTAAGCTCTCTCCACAGCCACATGGAGGAGATGGAGTCTTGGGCAGCAGCTGGGGAAAGAACTCCTCATCCAACCTTACCCAAACTCGTGGCTTCCAGGTGTGCTGGACTCCAGTTCCCATCATTCCCAGCCAGCATGGCCAGTGGAATTGAGAGCTGCAGTCTAACACATCATGTGAACACCAGGATGGAGAGAGTCGAGCACTATGAGCTGGCCAGAGCAAACAGCCTGGGTTCAGACAAACCAAGAAACCACACTCCAGGGTTGCGGGTGGGTTGCCACTGAGCCATGCACTGTGGCTGAAACATGGTTACTGTGTTGTTTGAACGCAGCCATGCCAACAGACCGTGGTCTGTTAATCACAAGCGACCCATGGAGAGAACCTAGGAATAACACCCAGAGGATTTTGTTGTTGCGATTCAACAACCACCCATGGTTCAACAACAACCTGCAGTCCACCCATCTTCAACCCACACCATGTCTGGTCATGTCAGGTGAACCGGGTCACAAAGTTACCTCTGCTTCTTCAGCAGGGAGCTCCATAGCTCTCTTTCCACTGGGAGGTAGTTTAAGAGGATCTGCAAAAGGAAAGAGGAACGTGCAAAGCTCTTTTTCTTGAACAAAAGGTAACGAGAGACAATAACTGTCAGCTCGTGGGGCAACCCCATGCATGTTTAGACAGAAAACACCCTACAACTTATCGGGGGCTGCATGCTTTTTCCTGCCTAAGCTGGCATCAGAATATACCCCGATTTAGATTTCTAGCAAATTTTAACTGCGTGAAAATCTTAGAACTTAGACTGTCCCTTGGCAAAGCTGTCTCACACACATCCCTCACACAACGGTGAATGGGCCAGGGTTCACAGTTCAGTAACGAACCATGGGTTCTCTGTGTGATTTTTTCCGGGTTTGTTGGTGTGACGGGGTCCACACAAAATGGCAAGCCATAGCGCGGGTTGTTGCCGAATTACGAGCTGCTGCGCTGCATACCCAACCACGGTGACCATGAATAACGCCCAGACAAGTTCGTTGTTGTGATTCAACAACCACCCGTGGTTCAGCAACAACCCGCAGTCCACCCATATTCAACCCACACTCTGCCTGGTCCTGTCAGGTGAACCGGGTCACAAAGTCAGCTCTCCATCAGAACACAGGGTGTCTGCCGGGAGGATTAACCTAGTGGCCTTGCAAGCCATCTTATGGTTTCTCGAATTCACAGTTCACTGCCCTCCCCCTGTGGCCTGTTTCCTCAGTCCCTTGGTTGTTTCTTATTCTTCTCCCTGGCCGCTCTCCCCCATGTATCCCTAATGCCTTTGTGGCACTTCTGCAATGGGCGGTAACGTGGCCAGGTTTGTGGGTTTTTTACTACTGTTGTCCACTGCCTCTGACCATGAATGAAACAAGCCATGAACAAACCACAGCTCTGGGTCTGCATGCAAAGACAAGCCATGAGATAACCAATCCAGAGTTTACAACTCAGCAACAAACCAGGGGTCCCCTCTCTGGGCTGGCTGGGGTTCAAACAACCAGGATTTGTTAGTGCAGCTAACTAGCTCAGATGTGATTCACATACCACAGCAGCCCAGAAGAAGCCGGACCCACGGGCTCCTGACATGCGCAAGCCAGGCCACACTTGTGACATGCTCAAGCGCCCTTCACCGTTAAAGCCAGGCAAAGCACAGCGAGGGACCCTCACGAAATAAAGGGAGCCCCCTCCCCACCCAGAAAACTCACCTTCCAGCAGAGACAGCGCAAGCCATTTTCGAAAGGGATCCCTGTGAGGCCAAGAGACAGAACCGTGTGGTTAAGCAAAGTCCCCGCACAAGAGCAACGCCGTTGGTAAGAATGCAGCATTTCGGAAGATATAAATTTCCCAGTTAGATGGAAAGGCAGAGGAAAGGGAAGCTAAACATATGCCGACGCAGCTCATCATGAGCCTCTAACTCACCGAGCACAGCTTCAGCTCTGACTGCTATGATTCCATGGCTGGGTTCAAACGACGGGATAACCCCCACTTAAGGGCTGAGGGTGGGATGTCATTGAACCACGGATTGTTTTGTTGTCTGAATCCAATCACATTAACAAACCATGGCCTGCTAACTGTGAGCAACCCACAGTTCACAACCCAGCAACAAACCATGGGTTTTCTTCATAGGTTGTTTGTGCTTAAGAAGCCTCGGTTTGTTAGCAGAGATGGGTTCAAATGGCATGGCAATCCACATTTACGGCTGAGTAGGGATCGAGTGGAGGTCGTCTCCGAACTGTAGGCGGTCATTGAAATGCGGGAGGTCATGCTGTCTGAACCCAGTCAATGGCCTGATTCGCACAGCAAGCTTGGGTTGATGGTGCTTTGAAAACCCAGCCATGCCAACCAGCTAGTTATTAATCAGAAATAACCCACAAAAAGAGCCCATGGTTTTTTGCTGGCTTGTGAAATGTGTGGACTGCGTATGGCTAAGAAACCAGTGTGTTGGTACCGCTGGGTTTACACAACACAACCAATGATTCAACAACAGGCCAGTGAGTGTGTCTATGCATAAATAGGTGAGTTTACTGAAGCACAGTCCCTCCACACACACACACGTGCGCACGCACACAAATCAGGCAGAAGTCACACAGAATAAGATTATGGGACTCTGCATGTACTCCTGGAAAGCTAATGATGTCCACACCTATTCAGTGACACCCCACAGACCCCCACAAGTTCTTTCCATAATTCTGACATTCCCTTTCCCTTCATCTTAGCATCATGAATTACACTTTGAGAGAAGAAACACATCAGAGATTTGGACAACATGATGGCACACATTCAGGGGTTGTGTAGAGGTTGTGTGTGGATTGTTGCTGAACCACTGGGCTATGTGCTGTCCAAACCTAGCCATGGTGACAAAGCTCGGTCTGTTAACTACAAGAAGAGAAGCCACGGTCGCTGTGGGTTGCGCACGGTGGTTTGCTTATCGTGGTTTCTTACCTTGGTGGGGTTTGCCCAGCGTAACAACACTCAACTCACAGTCAACCCGCATGTGGATTAGGCTGTCTGAACCCAGTCCGAGGGCACCTCCAAGCTTAGATCAACATCTAACAAACTGGCAGGGGGCAAATGCTAGAGGTTTGCCTGTATGTCATTTTATTTCGCAAGCTTTTCCCTCTCCCAGATGTGGCTTGACACGGGATCGTCCAACTCTGTAGGGCTGAAGAATTCCCTGCTGGACAGCCTTAAGCAGGCAACTTGGTGCCGGTCAGTTACCATTTCTATAAATATTAACCCAACAACTTCATGTAAAAAGTAACCATGCACAGAACTCGTTGTTTAAACACGCCAAGCGCGTGTGTGTCCAAGAGGGACTGGAGTGTGGCACTGCAGCCGGTGTTTCATTGTTGTGCCTGAGCAAGCTCTCGGCCTTAGTGACCCCGCAGGGTGCGCTGAGGGTTCGAGAGAGAGGAATGTGCTGAAGGCTTCCTTCTCCAGCAAGCAGAGAAAGGCCGACAAGGAGCACGCACGTGGGAAGAGCAAGATGCCTGCCTTCCGCGTCTGGTTGCTTATCTGGTAGATTCTACAGGCCCAATGCGCTTTTCTAGGGCAGACTGGACTCGGGCAATACCTCATCCCACACTTGAGGGAAGAGTCAAGTCTGGGTCGTTGCAGAACTGAGTTATTGAACTGTCTGAACCCAGCTGAGATAACTCATGGAGATCCACCCTCAGTTCACAAATCAACAACAAACCTGGGTTGTTTGTGGTTCACAAGCCATGGCTTGTTAGTGCAGCTGGATTCAGACAACCCAGTAAGCCATGCTTCAACAGCAACATACAGTTCCACTGCAACTCACTCTCAACACTCGAGTGTCGGTGTGTTGTCCAAGCCCACTCAGTTCACATGGGGCTTTTCATGCTGCCGTACATGAACTGAAGACCGCTCTGGCTGCACGTTGGAAGGAGAGTCTGGCAGAAGGCTAGCAATCCTGTTTGCTAAGCTGTGACATGCAGATACCAAACATCACAATGCCACCTCTGGTATCTACAGCTTCAGCATGGGGTTGACTTGACATGCAGATCATTATCTCCAAAGGCAGTCAAGTTTTCTTTGTGCGTGTGTGCTTTAAGGAGAGGTTACTAACTGAAGAATGTTGGTCCCTATTCTTATTAAAAGATCCTTTTTGTAGGGAGAAATTCCATTGAAATTTGGATATCCACCCCCCAAAATTTAAAAAAAAAATTGAGGGGAGAAATCCCATTGAAATGCTGGCAAGCCATTGGCATAGCCATTGATGACACACTGAAACCGGATCCACCAAGCTGCCGACAAGAATCGGCTAAAGCGGCTTACCACTGAAACACAGTTCACGAAGTTTTGGCAGAATCACACTGGGTTCGCTCAGGATGTCTTGGAATTCCGCAATCCTAGAGGGGAAGAGAAAAGCAGAGCTGCACACATCAAAGCAAGTGCTCAAAAGGGGCACACTGCTGATTGCGTAAGGTGAAACCGAGTCCTTCTGTGCAGGGCTCTAGGGCTGCTGTGAAATCCATCCCATCTGTGTTTTGTGGCCTGCCAGCCATCTTTCACTCCATCATCTTATTCGTGTGCAGAAAAGTGCTTGCACAGACACATGAATCTCCCAAGTTGCATGTATCCATCCAGATGTGTGTTTTCATGCTATGCTCTGGGAGGAATGTGCAATTTGGGACTAATTTATTGTGACTGGATTTGTATAAAACAATGTTAACTTTTTAACAACTCTGTGGTATCTGCACAACTTCGGAAAAGCCGGTGCTCCGCAGAATCCATAGATCAGATTGTTAGAAATGTGAACTTGTTCACGCCTGCTGCAGATTTCTCTGACATCCCTGCCCACCAATCCAACTGCAATTATTGCAATCACAATTACAAATCATTATTACACATCACATTTTCGGCTTTTGGGCCAACATGCATAAGGGTTCTTTCAGTCCTGACTCCTCTTGGGACAAAGCCCAGCTTGCAGTGACATTCCAAATTACATATTTTTTCTCTCTCCCCCTTGCCTCCTTCCTTCAAGGGCACTACAAACCTAGTTAGGCCCGTCGTAAATAACCCAAGAAACATGCAGTTCTGATAAGAGCTTTTATCTGAACAAAGGCAGCACAAGTACAAGAAACCACACAGATAAAAATTCGCCCACCCCAACCACTGCTGCAGGGCAGCGACTTGAGTCCTTGCTGGACAGCTATAAATCTAACAGTGTAGGGCAGAGGCAGGAAACCACCTGCAAGATGCTGGGAAGTGCAAAGCAGAGCATGAGAAGAGCGCATGTGCCATCGACTGGCACATACAGGCACTCTGACAGTGGCTCGCAGGAACTTGAGCTAAGCCAGTTTCCATTAGCAAACAGGGCAATTCTCCTGCTTTGATTGCACTTGAGGAAGTCCTGGAGCTGTGCAGGGACAGACCGTAACAATCAGTGTGACCCTGTGTGAACTTCAGGTGTTGTCCTGCCTCTGGGGACAATCACACTGGTTTGCTCTGAACATCATGGCAACCCAGCGCTTTTAAACACTTATTCTACAATGAACCAAAATGCTCTTACCATGATGTGCAGAACAAGCCGATCGTTAAACAGTTGCACACTGTTTCCGTACTGACACATCCAGGACGGGATGTGAGAGCTGCTTCAGGCATCCTGGCATCGCTTTGCAAATGGCCTACCTCTTCCCCTCCTTTTGGGGTTGGTGGAAACTCTCAGGGTTTGGAGAAAGGGTTGTGGGTGCACTTACAGAGCGGCAGACGTGGGTGAGGCTTGCGGACTCACAAGATGTGGCTGGAGACACAACACTTATTTCCCACAGAGGCTGTCAGGGGCTGCCCTAACTGGGACTTGCACTTCGGATCTTGCATTCAGCGCCCCGGAGCCCCAAGGGGGGCCTGCCCATCCGCTCTGCTGCCCCGGGGCATGTGCCGAAAACCCAGTCCAGGGGTTCTAGATCTCTGCTGCACCAGGTCCTCCTGACTTAGCCACCTGTTGCCCACCTGTGCTTCCCCCTCCTGCTGCTCCTTGCAAACCTTCTGAGTTTTCCTCCCCCCCAATCAAATATACCCCCTCCCCAAAAATGCATTCATTTCTTGCAAAGTGGGGTACCCATAGGAGGCGAGGACCTTTAAACAGCCACGATCCCGGCACACCCAACAACAGAAGAGTGGCACTCTATTTTGTGGCCGGCTGGCCTCACTGTGGAAAAACAGGTGACTGAAGTAAAGGCATGCAAGGAAAAGGGGGCGGGGAGCCTGTGGGATGTTCAGGGAGGGCTCAGCTTTTGCTCCTCACATTCAGTAAGGGAGAGAGCCGACTGCTGGCACCAGACTGCTGGCTTGCTCATCGAAACTTTTATGGATTTGCCAGGTGATGCAAGTTTATACCAAAGTTAGCTCGCATTAATTCATCTCACAGTTTAAAGGGCAGGTGAAACTGTTTGAGGAGAAGCACTCATGGGAGAAAGTCCCAGAGTTTTTCCCGTGGAACTGGCAAGCTTTTGCACTCTTCTCGTCCTCACTTTTGCAAGAAAAGCTACTAAAAAACTCTTCCCTCATGTTTGCCTGAGGCTGCAAACACACCCCTTGCAGACAAGGGCACATTTTGAACGTTAAAGGGGGAAAGGGAAGCATGGGAGTGGCAGGAAAGCAGGATTCCCGACGGCGCCCACCCGCCCGCCCGCCCTGACCACAACGCCAGCCAGGCCCAGATGCTTGCAGCTGGTCGAACCACGACAAAGTTTCGCTGCACAGGAGAGCCTTGCTGCGCTCCTGCACAGGTTGAGCCAGAGGAAAAGGGAAAGCCCAACAGCTCCCAACATCCCCCAGCCAGAGGGAGGGGTGTTGCTGGGGGCATGGAGGTTGATGTGTGCAGGACTGGGCCCTCGCAGCTTGCTTGCAAGACTCTCCAGCTGGTCCACGAGGTCATGGGAACGCGCTGGAAGCCGCCCCAGATCAAGGCGACCATCTCGCCGGGACTGAAGGGGCCCGGCCTCTCCAGGTGTGCGGATGCAGAGACTTTCCCAGCGCTCCGCAGAGGCCTTGGGTGAGCTAAGCAGGGTGCTACCGGGCACTGACGGCACTTCCCCGCAATAAGGGTGGGGGGTGTAGAAACGGGTAGCAGGGCCCACTTCCAGGTGCTCCAGCGTGATTTTCCCTGTCCTGCAGACTGGGAAGCAGGAATTCTGCAGCAGCAGGCCGGCTGTGAGAGGTGCCTGCCCCTTTTCCAACAAGGAACTAACGGTGGCACAGCTTGCACCAGCCTCCTCTTCCTCTTCGCCACTGTGTGATCACGGCAAGCCTGCAAGCCGGGTTAGGGTGAGGCTGTGACTAGCCAGGGAGCGTTGTGGCTGAGCAGGAGGCAGCCCTGGCTCTCCAGACGCTGCTCTAACCACTACCCCACTTGGGCTATCCGGGAACTTCCTTCCCCGAATGCACAACAACCCTCTGAGGAGGGGGAGGCGATGACCACACAATTGGCTCAAAGCCACCCAGGCGGGGATTTCAACTGGGGCTTCCCGAGTCGGGTCCAGCACCCACACCTCGCCTCGCCCACACGTGCGGTGTGTGCGTTTGGGTCGCCACGACTCTCCGCGGCACGGCGCGCGCCTCCTCGCCTTCGCGGGCGCGTGTTGAAGCGTGCGGTGCGTCTCTTTGTCCGTGCCTTGGCGCGTGACCTGTGTGCACGAGTGGATGCGGCGTGGGCCGGCCAGCGCGTGTGCAGCGCCGCTCCCTGTGCCCGCGCGTGCGGGAAGCCGCGGGCTGGCTTCGGTGCTCCCTTGGCCCCCGCACACCTGGCCACCCCCGTCCGCCGCCCCTGCAGATGCAGCGGCTTCGCGGGCTCCCCTCCGCGGCCGCCCCGGCAACGCACTCGGGCCCGGCCCAGCCCGGCCCGGCGCCCCCGCTGCACGCCCCCCGCCCCGCCTGCGCCCCCCCGGGCCCCACCTGCTCTTGTGCAGACGGGACATGATGGCGGCGGCCCCGGCGCCTCCCCGGCCTCCTCCGGCGCCTCCTTCCCCGCGCGGGCGCCCATGCACTGGCGGCCAGCCCGGCAGCGCGGAGCCCCATGCGCGGCGGGCGGAAGCCCGGCCTGGCTGCGCGAGCGGGGGCGGGCGGATAAATAGGCGCGGGGCGGCGCGGGGCGGTGCTCGCCCGCCCCCCGGCCCCGCGCAGGCCGCGCGATCCTGCGCCCCGCGGCTTCTCCGCCTGCGCGGGCCCGGGCGGACGTGGGAGCCGCACATGAACCGGACCCTTTTATTGTGGACGTGATTAAATCCAAACAGAAAAAACGAAACATTAAAATCCCCAGATGCACTTTGAACAGATCGATTGCAGCTGACGGCCCTTCATAAATGGATGCGCCGTTATATTGCACGACTCGAGCGGAGCATCGACGCTGGTTCCTTGCGTCGGGGCAGCTGTGGGACTCTTTGTACAACTGCGCTTTGTTCCAGAGGAAGGCTGCTCGGGTTCCACCTTGCCCAGTTTGAACGCTTATTCCTATTGCTCCACTGAATTCTCATCCAGCCCCAGAGAAGGTGTGAGAGCCCCTGGCCAGGCACTCCCTAGAATCATCGAGCAGTAAAGTTGGAAGCAGCCAAGCAAGCCCTCGGGTCCAGCCCCCTGCTGTTGCAGGACACCAAGTTACAGCATCCCGGTCAGGGCTGCCCGGTTTCTTCTTGAATGTCTCCCGTGTGGGAGAGCCCACAACTTGCCCAGCTAATAGGTTCCATTGTCGTACTGCTGTGACAGTCAGGAAATTCTTCCCAGTGTCTAGTCTAAATCTGGTTTCTTTTAACTTCAGTCTGTTATTCTGCATCCTGAACTCTAGGATGATCGAGAAGTGATCCTGTCCTTCCTCTTTGTGACAGCCTTTCAGGTACCTCTTGGGTGCTATCACATCACTTCTCCCAGTCTTTCCCCACAGGGTTTTGCCTCCAGTCCTCGGATCATCCTTGTTGCCCTCCTCTGTACCCTTTCTGCATCTTTGTAAAACTTAGGTGCCCAGAACCAGACATAGAACTCCAGGTGAGGTCTGACTAGTGCTGAGTAGAGGAAACTAGTACCTTATGTGTTTTGGAAGTGAAGTTTCTGACAATGCAGTCCAAATAGCATTTGCCGTTTTTGCAGCTGCATCACATTGTTGGCTCATATTCAGCTTGTGATCTACACCAATCCAAAGATCCTTCCAAAGATCCTTCTTATTTGCAATCTTGTTCACCATATTGTGGTTGCTTGTTGCTAAGTGGAGGACCTGGCATTTGTCCCTACTGAATTTCATTCTGTTATTCACTGCCTGGCTTTCTAACCTGTTGAAGTCACCTGTATCTTATCTCTCTCTTCCAAGGTATTTGCTATTCCACCCAGCTTTGTGTCATCTGCAAATTTAATCAAATTGCCCTGTACTTCCTCATCTAAGCCTTCAGTAAAAATGTTCCCGCTTCATTGGACCTTACAAAGGTGCCAGGTCCTGATGGGTTACACCCGAAAGTACTTAGAGAGTTGGCAGGGGTTCTCTCATGCCCGCTGGCCTTCATTTTTGAGGCCTCGTGGAGAACGGGTGAAGTTCCAGAGGACTGGAGGGTGGTGTCAGTGGTCCCAATTTTCAAAAAGGGTGGTAGAAGGGACATGGGGAATTACAGACCGGTTAGCCTTACGTCCATTGTAGGAAAAAGAATGGAAAGGCTCATAACAGAGAGAGATCTATTGATGCTTGATAGGGAAGGAAGGCTGACAGCCACACAACACGGCTTCTGCAAAAACAGGTCCTGCCAGACAAACCTTGTGGAATTCTATGACAAGGTTTCGAGGTGGCTGGATGGAGGGGATGCAGTGGATGTGGTTTACCTGGATTTCAGCAAGGCCTTTGACAAAGTGCCCCATGATATCCTGGTTGAGAAACTGAGGAGTTTTGGGATACACCAAAGCACTGTCCGGTGGATTAGGGCATGGTTGACTGACCGAAAGCAGAGGGTAACCATTAGTGGGAATCATCGGGATGGCGGCCAATGACAAGCGGGGTCCCCCAGGGTTTTGTCCTGGGGCCGATCCTGCTTAATCTTTTCATCCATGACATGGAAGAAGGGGTGAACAGTCTGCTGATCAAATTCACAGATGATACTAAAACTGGAGCAGTGGCCACAACTGAGGAGCAGGTACTCCAGATCCAAAAGGATCTGGACAGACTATGGAAGTGGGCAGGAGACAACAGGATGGCGTTCCATGTGGATAAGTGCAAGGTCTTGCACTTGGGGCATAGGAATAGCTGTCATAAGTGCAGGTTAGGGGACAAGTGGCTGGAGAGCAGCCCTTGTGAAAGGGACCTCGGGGTGCTGGTTGACTGCAGGCTGAACATGAGTCAGCAGTGTGATGCAGTGGTTAAGAGTGCGAACGCCACCCTTGGTTGCATAGCCAGAAGTGTAGCTTCTAGATTGAGAGAGGTATTACAACCACTTTATATCACTCTGGTATGCCCGCAACTGGAGTGTTGTGTTCAATTTTGGACCTCTCATTACAGAAAGGATATAGCCAGTTAGAGTCAGTGCAGTGTAGGGTCACAAGGTTGGTGGCCGGTTTGCAGGGGATGCTGTATGAGGCGAGACTGAGGTAACTGGGTCTCCTCAGCCTGGAGGAGAGGAGACTCGGAGGGGATCTGTTGGTGACATACAGGTATGTGAGGGGATGTCACATGGAGATGGGTAGAGACCTGTTCTCCCCTGCAGAGGAAGGCAGGATGCACTCCAACGGAGCAAAGCTCGGGGAACCCAGGTTCCATTTAGATGCCAGGAAGCACTTCCTGACAGTTAGGACCCCGAGGGTATGGAATGGGTTTCCACGGGAGGTCGTTGAGGCCCCATCGGTGCGGGTGTTCAAAGATAGGCTGGACATGCACATGGTGGGTATGTCGTGACCGGAGCTGGCTGGACCCAGGGGTCAGACTAGATGGTCCAGGAGACCCCTTCTGACTCGCTCTGTTTCTATGTTTAATTTCTGCTTCCATGCCTGGCCATATCACCTACCACGGTGCGTGCCTCTCCTTAGCCACTGGCATAGGCAAATATACTGCAAATGATGCCTGGAGGGGTGTATGGAAATGACGCGTTGCCTCTTTGGGGGGTCCCAGGAGGATGCACCACTCACCACCTTCCAGAGGTGCATGGGCTGTCACTCCCGTGGCCTCCTGCAATGACAGGGGACCACAGAAGTTGCAATGCAACAACCCTGGAGGACTCCACATTCGAGGAGGGCTGTCCTAAATCCAGGGGTTTGGAAAGGAATCGTGGGGGGTAGGAGAGCAAGAGGCTCCAAGGGAGAAATGGGAAGGGATGTCCATATAGAAACATAGAAACAGAGTGAGTCAGAAGGGTCCTCCTGGGCCATCTAGTCTGACCTCCAGCACCTGCCGGCTCCGCTCATGACATGCCCACCATGTGGATGTCCAGCCTATCCTTGAACACTCGCACCGATGGGGCCTCAACAACCTCTCGTGGAAGCCCATTCCACACCCTCGGGGTCCTGACTGTTAGGAAATGCTTCCTGGCATCTAAATGGAACCTTGGTTCCCTGAGCTTTGCTCTGTTGGAGCACATCCTGCCTTCCTCTGCAGGGGAGAACAGGTCTCTGCCCATCTCCATGTGACATCCCCTCACATACCTGTATGTTGCCAACATATACACTCTGAGTCTCCTCCAGGCTGAAGAGACCCAGTTCCCTCAGTCTCGCCTCATACGGCATCCCCTGCAAACCGGCCACCAACCTTGTGGCCCTACGCTGCACTGACTCCAACCTGGCTATATCCTTCCTGTAATGAGGGGCCCAAAACTGAGCACAGTACTCCAGTTGTGGGTGCACCAGAGTCGTATAGAGTGGTAGTAATACCTCTCTCGATCTGGAAGCCACGCTTCTGGCTATGCATCCAAGGGTGGCGTTCGCCCTCTTGACCAGCGCATCACACTGCTGACTCATGTTGAGCCTGCAGTCAACCAGCACCCCGAGGTCCCTTTCACAAGTGCTGCTCTCCAGCCACTTGTCACCTAACCTGTACTTGTGACAGCTATTCCTATGCCCTATACGATAGAAAACGTATTGGAGAAAAGGAAGAAGGGGTCCCCTTTCATATCTACCCTATATCTCCATCGGGAAGGGGGAGAGGGGCTCTCTACTCTCTCCCCGGTCTTTTCTGCGTATCTTTGGAAAGGGGGTTTCCTACATACGCACACACAGGCGCACGGGGCAGAGGCGGGTACGTCGCAGCCCGGAACCCTCCTCTCGGGGAGCCTGTTTCCAGGGGGAAGGCGAGACGAGGAGCGCCCCTCCGGTCCCCCGGGACGGGGAGAGCGCAGGGCCCGGCTGCCGGAAGTGACGCACGGGTTTGTTGACAGCGGCTGCTCCTGCAGCGGGGGAGGGCAGCGCGGGGAGCGGACCGCGGTGGGGACTGGGCCCTCCTCTTCCCCACCCCCGCCCGCATCCCCTCGGGGTCCCGCTTTCTCCTCCCCTCCCTCCCTCCCTCTTTCCTTCCTTCGCCGGAACCGGAACCAAGTTTGACCCGGACACTTGCTCAACCTGCAGCCAGGTGAGTGTGTGCGGGCGGGGACGTTGCGGGAGGCAGCTCCAGGCGCTCCAGCCCCCCGCTCCGGGAAACGGGGGGCGTGGTGGGCGCGGAGCCCCCGGCCTGGCCCTCACCCGCCGCCCAGGTGCATGGGGAGCGCGTTGCAGGTCGGCACTCTCCAGCTATGCGGTGTTCCAACTCCCATCGTCCACAGCCAACCGCAGAGGAGTGCTTTGCAGCTCCCGCCATGCAGTCTTTAAGCATCTTTAAAATAGACATTTTAAAACTGAAGCCCTCCCGTGCTTGCCTATTTGCCCTGTATACTCAACCATCAGCTGCTGTGAAAGATGCAGATTTCACATTCAGACGTAACTAGGAAAAGCACTGGGAACAGAACTGCAATTCAGTGGTGCAGCTACACTTGCTATACTGCCCACAGTTCTGATTGCTTACCTAAAAAAGGAGGGGGGGGTATTGTAGACTTGGGAAAAGTGCAGAGAAGGGCAAATGTTCAGGGCTGGAGCAACTCCTGTGTAAAGAAAAGCTACAGTGTCTGGGATTGTTTAGTTTAGAAAAAGGGTGATTAAAGGGAGATGTGGTAGAAGTGGGCAAAATGATACCTACTGCAGAGAAAGTGATGAGGGAAATATTTCCTCCCTTTGCCATCATGCTAGAATGCAAAGGGGGGTCACACACCCCATGAGGCTGAGTGATGCCATATCCAAGGAACAACTTCTCAGAGCAGAATTGAAACTGAAATTCATTTCTGCAACATGCAGTGATGGCCACCAATGTGGGTACTTGTAAAAGAGGACTGGGCACATTCAGGAGGAGGAGGCTGTCAATGGCTGCCGGTCCTTGTTGCTAGATGTTCCCTCCAGCATCCAAGGTAGACTGCCTGAGTGTACCAGTTGCTGGGGAACATGAGCAGGAGGATGTTTTTATGCTCGTGTCCTGCCTGAGGGTGTCGCCTGTGCATCTGGTTGCCCTCAGTGTAACCAGAGGAGTGGATGAAACACACCTTAGTCCGATCCTTACCTGACAGAGCACTTCTGGTGTGAAGCTACTTGTATGCTCTGGGCTTCATCTCGGGCCCTCCTCTAGGTACTTCTCCAAGGGTGTCTTGAAAGGCAGCAAACAGGAAGATGATCTTCCTAGTGGTGGCTCTTCAGTTCTGAAACAGACACCCCAATCATTGTTATCTGTTTGGTGCCAGGTTTGGTGCATTTGTCAGCCTGTGAGTTGCTTTTAATGCAGTCTTGTTATTTTTCTTGTTCATTGTTTAAAATTGGCTTTAGGCATACATGTGTCTCTTTGTTCATTGTCTGTGTTTGCATGTATACCATTTTAGCATGTATTTTTAAGGTCTTAATCTTTGTAAATCAGTCAGAGAGTGCTGCCTGGTGGTCAGTATAGAAATGCAAGCAGTGAGATGGTTTGAAACTAGATGGTGTTTGAAACTAGCTCTTTTTCGTCTGCCTGCAGTGGTCCTGATACAACTTTGGAGTCTGCCCTAAAATCTCCTGAGAACAAGGGAATTCCAGGAAGAAGGAAACAGCGCATCTTCGACTTGCCTTTCCCCCCTCCCTTGTTCCCCCCTTTTGCCCCATCCACTGCCACAAGATGGCGGCCGACAGCCCAGAGTCGCTGATGGCCCTCTGCACCAATTACTGCCTTCACAACCTGGAGGGGACGCTTTGCTACCTGCTGGACAACGAGACTCTCCGTCTCCACCCAGACATTTTCCTGCCGAGCGAGATCTGCGACAGACTTGTCAATGAGTAAATGCTTGTGTCTATTGCCGTTCTGGTTTTCCCTATAGAACTGTTTTTCCCTATAGAATATAGGCCTCTTTTCCCCTAAGCACCTACCCAATCTCATCCTCCCAGCAGTGAGGTCAGTCAGATGACAAATGACATGCTCTGTGCAATAAATAGATTTGAACCTGGATTTTATAGAATCACGGAGCAGGAATGCCCAGGCCCTGTTGCTACAGGTCACCAGGTTACACCGTCCCACTCAGATCTGGTCGCACCTTGTCACCACAACCTCAAGTGTGGCAAGGAAGTTTGTGTGAGCAGTTTTGAAAGGTCTTTCTGTGAGCTGTCATCCTGGAACAAGCAGAGGACTGCAATATGAATCCAAAGGAAGGGGCAGGTTTGGGTGAGGCTCATTGATTGGCCCAAAGTCACACGGTGAGGTTCGTTATTTATTTAAAACATTTCTATGCTGCCCCCATCGCAACAAAGCCTCAGGGCAGCTCACAAAAAATACAGAAAAACAATAAACAATAACAATATAACAATTTAAAAGAAAAAAAACATTGAAACCCCCCGGTGCATTTTCGGCTAATTTTAAAATCCTAATAAATACAATAATTTAGCAATTAAAATAAGTTTTAAATAAAAAGGTCTTAGCCTGGCGGCGCCAGGCATACCTCTCTGGGGAGCGCATTCCATAGATGGGGTGCCACCGCAGAGAAAGCCCTCCTAATATTCACCCTCCTAATATGCACAGTACTCACCCTCCTAATATCATTCACAGAGGGTTCCCGGAGAAGGGCATCCGTTGCTGATCTTAAGGGGTGGGAGGGCATATATGGGCGCAAGCGTTCCTTTAGATATCCAGGTCCCAAGCCATTTAGGGCTTTATAGGTCATAACCAACACCTTGAATTGGGCCCGGACTTCAATCGGGAGCCAGTGGAGCTGACAGAGAACTGGGGTTATATGAGAACAATGCCCAGTCCCTGTCAGCAACCTGGCAGCTCTATTCTGCACCAATTGAAGTATCCGGACCGTCTTCAAGGGTAGCCCCACGTAGAGTGCATTACAGAAATCTAATCGGGAAGTTACCAGCGCGTGTGTCACTGTTGCCAGGCAGTCGTTCTCCAGGAAGGGATGCAGCTGATGGATCAGCCGAAGCTGAAGGAAGGCGCTCCTCGCCACCGCCGTCACCTGAGCTTCTAGAGACAGCTCAGGGTCGAGGAGCTGCAACCCCATTTAGGACAAGGCCCAAGTCCCCCATCCCGAGGCCCGAACCACCCACCAGCAGGACCTCCGTCTTGTCTGGATTGAGCTTCAGTTTATTGGCCCTCATCCAGCCCATTACCTCGGCCAGGCACCGGTTCAGCACAGCCACTGCCTCACCTGGATTGGTGGAAAATGAGAGGTAGAGCTGGGTATCATCAGCATACTGATGATTCCGCAGCCCACACCTCCTGATGACCTCTCCCAGTGGTTTCATGTAGACGTTAAACAGCAAAGGGGACAAAATGGACCCCTGCGGAACTCCATGGCATAGCTGCCATGGCGCAGAGCCATAGTTCCCCAGCAACACCTTATGAAATCGGCCGTTGAGATAGGAGTGGAACCACCGCCACACGGTGCCTCCAACTCCCAA